GTTGTACGCAATGTGACTAAATTATTAATAGTTGCCATGCACATCACACAAGGATTTCAAAAGGGGACTTTGTGTTTCTGCAAAACACTGCTATTTTTGTCTGACAGTAGAGACAAAATAATTTGAAAATTAGTCTCTTTGGTACTAATCACAACTGTTACTAAATACTCCCACTGTAGGCATAATACAGTAATTTTTCATTTTTGAGACAATTAGACATTTCACTCGTTATCTCAATGAAGATCTTGAAAGTTTACAATTTGTTAAAATACAAACAACACATAATTAATGAAAACATAGTGAAACAAATATCTATTTCTAGTCATAAAAGCTCCACTAACTAGTACAATAAAATTCAAGCACAAATTAAAGTAGTAACATTTATAGAAGATACCATAGAATATTTGTTTTACAGGTTAGAAAGACCAGCTATGGGGTCGTTTGAGGTGGGTTTTTTAAAAGCATGAAGATATATGAATGGATTGCTGCAGTTAAATTTGCTTTACAGAAAAAATAACATTCTGCTGTGGGCAAAAACAGAAATATGGGAAAATTCTCTTCTGTCTCAAGTGAATTATTTCTGGTGAAAGGCTTCTCAGCGTTTTGCTACAGGCATGCAGCTTTACACACAGAACATTATGCATGTACACAGACAGCGCTCTACTGGGGGTGTCTATCCTGATGCCTTCCCCTATACCCAGATCCCCAGAAGGCTATTTACAGGAAATAAAGGAAAAACACGGATTTGGAAATGGAAATGAACCCCAAACCAACGAACACCTAAAACATCGGCACAGAAAAACAAGTTGATAAGGGAAAAAGCAGCTTCACTCAGTACGTCTCGGCTGCTTCCAAGGCAGAAAGCAATGGGGACGTACTGCTATTATTAGCCCTCCGGATGGGAAGCAGCACGGTGTGAAGCTGTTGGCAAGACGTTGCAGGATTTTCTTCACACGTATGCACAGGCACAGACACACAGGCAGACAGACCCCCCGAAACGCTCATGGCGAGCCCCTTCCCGCCACTCGGGTCAGACAGACAGACAGAGAGCACGATGCCAGCGCGACTGTGCGTACTCACAGCTCGGAGTACAAGAAGTGCAGGTTGCCCACATTGTCTATGTAGTTTGCAGGACTTAGCCAAGGTAGGACCAGTAACAGGAGAGCCTTCATTTTCAGTGCAGTGCTGGCACTGCTTCTAGGTTTCCTCCTTCCCACCGTCTCTCTGTGCTGGTGGGACACACAACGAGAAGCTTTCGTGCCAGCCAAGCCCCTTCTAAGCAAGCCTTTCCATTTCAACGCAATGGTAGCACATTATGAATCGAGCTTAAATCCCTTAAACGAAGCTACACTGCAAAAATCATTGACCTGTAAGAGGATTACTCGATCTGACTCTCAGATGGGTAGATGTGAGGGTTTAGGGACAGCACAGCGTGGTTGGCGAGACAGTGACTTATGCTGCAGAGGAGAGCGATGCTCGGGGAAGAGACCTGCCTCCTGCAGGATTCAGAGTGGTTCTTCAGAGGCAGCTGGTATGTTTACATCACTGCCCACAAGCAGATGGGTTACGAGCTAAACTGCATCACAGGAGGGTGTAGCTGTCTGACAAGGAGGGGAAAAAAATGCCCCCCGTGGAGTTTTGTAGCAGGCGATATCATAAGACCACACCTTTTTAAAGTAAAACACTGCAAAAGATCACAGCCAACTGCTGGCTGTTTGCATCTCAGTCTGAATTCCCCAAATCCGGTCAGATGTTTTTGTACAAACTTAAATCTTGTAATAATCCAAGGACATGTATCTTCTCAGGGTTTTTTTGAAGGATGCAAGAGCAAACATTTTAAATAAGGATGCTTTCAGTTGACTGCTCCATGGTAACCAGTGTTAAAAAAAATGGTAAAGTTCTCTCATCAATTACAAAGCATAAAACAGCAAGCTCACCTTGTCCAATCAGTGACCTCATCTCTGATCAGGGCAAACTTTTGTTTTCTCTCTGAGAACCAGGACTGGTCTGAACCTGAATAATGCAAGTAATGTGAGGACTGCTGACCACCCTGGTGACCCTAGCAGAGCCTACTTTAATTTATTCACTGAGAGCACAATAATGTTCTGTGGAGATATCAGGTGGGGTCTGTACTGTTCTCATGGCAGACACCAAATATTTATGATTATTATTGCATTTTTTTATTAGTAAAATCACACATTTTCCCTTCCCTCTATTGATTTGCAAGAGTTAAAAAGAACAGCATCAGCTCAGTCTGTTTAATCTGTCCCTGGGCATGACAGAGCACAACATTCTTCTCCTTGCCATTAATTGGAGATGGAGTGGCAAGAGAGGAAATGCGCTGCATTTCCAACAATTAAATTAGGCAGAGGCATAAGATACCTTAGGTGATAATTAATTAATGCTGTGCTTAAAAAAAAAAAAAAGGTACTATGCAGTGTCTGCAAGCACAAGGATGTAGGAGTCCACCTTTAGGGATCACTCTGAATGTTTCCTCCTATTTCTTCCCTCACGTGGGAATGCTAGTGGGGTTGCAGTACCTACCCCCTGTAAAGCTGAAACCCCCAACAGCAGAAGTTCCCCTTGGTTTCCTATTCTCCTGTCTCTGCCCTTTGGTCTTAAGGTAACTCAGCACTCCCAACCGTTCTGAGGAAAGAAAAGTCATGTCATGAGTAGCAAAGATGAAAAATGTCCAACTGTGTAGCAATGTTTTTTACTTCACTACATTAGAGGCTTTAGGGTAGGAAGACCCTACTGCGTCTCCAGTCTTGTGCTCCTGGGGGTTGCAAACCTGGGACTGGTGCAGGGAACCTGACACAGGGAAGAGGCAACAGCAAGAGATGGTGGGAATACGTTACTGAGACAATTCTTTCTATCTCTGCTTGGGCTCAGGCCGAGCAAGCCAGAAGCACAGGATCTTGAGGATCCTGAGGGGAAGATCCAGGCCAAGCCACTGGCATTCAGCAGTAAGTGCCAGAATAAAACTTGCCAGGACAAAATCATTGTTTATAGCACTGCAATTCTGTAAGATATATAGTGAAGGGTACCTTTCACTATATATCTTAAGGAAAAGAAACTATGACACGGGAGTGACTTGCACATATCTACGTAGGAAAATCAACATTAAAATCAGAAGTTGTGCTAGCTGTGTGGCTTCCATGCAAAAAACACCACTGCAATTTGCTTATTTATTGGGGGTTGAGGGTAAATTGGGAATGGGTGTCCTACTAATTTTATGGCCACAGCATCATACTGTTAAAAAAATGAAGACAAACAGGAAGGCCTAAATCAAATTAAATTCAGCTATAGGTATAGCAAAGGGAAAGGGCATTTGCACTAGGGGTTCAAGATTTTGTGCTTGGAATCTGTAGAGAAACACAATTTCAGTGACAGTAGCTCACAGAAGACTGACAGTCCCTTACCTGCATTTCTGTTGAAATTAACATTTGAGGCCTTTTAGAGAAGTACTGACCTAAGACAGAAAATTATGATTATCTCTGTTATTTTGTCCCCTTAGCTGCACACGGTGGAACTCCCAGAGCACTGCTGGCCTGGGCTGGGTCCTGCTGCCACTGAGCCAGAAGCACCCTCATGGGGAAAGCCAGATCCAGAAATGTGGGGACAAGGGCACCCCAATCCACAAACACCAAACCTCCAGCATGTGAAACATGGTCTCACAACCTTCACAAGGGATTAATAAATCCATTGCTAAGGTTTGTGGGTTTTTTTAGTTTTAGTACCACAAAATCATCACATTTTTGGTTGGTTAGGATACCGTAACTTAGTGAATATCTTCAAGTGAATAAATTCTTAGTGGGAATCCAGGTGCTTTAGGAAATGATGTCTCCAGTGCAAATGAGGACGTGTTGAGTGGCAGGCTGCAGAGCCATTTCTGCTTGTGGGCTCACAGACTGTGAAGTGTGCAGCATGTGAGCACACCACTCTCTGGCTCACCAGCCTGCTCACCAGCCATGCTCTGGTCCTCAGTACTGCCATGTCTCTGCAGGACAGTCTGGAGCCCTACGCTGGCTGCTCAAGGCTTCCTTCACGTTGCACGTACAGAGGTACACACCTAGCAACATGATTTACACCCGCAAACTTCCGGGGAAGTAATTTCACTGGGTAACAGATACAACTCACAGAAAAGGGCACATCTTAGACCCCACCTCTCCTCAGACCTGAGGTGCTGTTATGCAGACCATGCCGAAGTGTGAGGGTGCTGTCAGAAATCACAGCCCTGAAGTACCTCTTTACATTTCTGATTTCCTTACAAAAGGCAGAACATGCAAGACAAAAGCAGCAGCGCATGCTTTTACTCTGCAAAACAGAGAATCGTTCAGTTCTCTCATTGCAGAGGAGCCAAACTGCTCCCTGGAGAGGTCTCTCCCAGAGGCAGGATGGAGAGTGTCCTGGCTACCAGGAGGGATAAGGTTGGAGAGGGAATCCAGCCAGATTTCCAGATTCTGTCTCTCTGTGAGCCCCATGGTGCCCTGTGTAAGTGCTCACCTGGAAAAAAGGAGCACTCAAGTTCAAAGACCAACACCAAACTGGAATATTTTCTGCTCTACTTCTCATATAGGTCATTTGTGATTCAAAAAATGTTTGAAGAAAGGGCAATTATAAAACCTTTTATAATGAGCTATTAAAATATTTATAATAGCTCAGCTTCCCAAAACATGCAGATCTCTTTGGACTACATACACATTGTCATTGTGCAGCTAACCACAAAGTATTCATCCAGAACTGCTAACAATAGGATGAAGTACCTTACATGCATTGATGCATTTGGTTCTAAAAAAAGAGTAAGATATAGCCTATATCTTGGACTATCAATGGACTAAATTCAGCTCAAAATTAATGATACTGTGTTCATTGGGAGTGAAATAAACAACTCTTTCTTTATGTTAGGTGTCTATTTTGACCAGTATTAATTGAAGGTATTTTTTCCTCTACTCAAAAAAAAAAAAGGAGTGAGAAAAGGTCTATCAACAACAACTTACTGGGTTTGGAAATGCTGTTCAAGGTGACCACGTTGCACAACCTCTGAGCAGTGTTCTGTGAAAGGGCAGCTAACCATTAGCTTATCCAGGAGGTTATTCACTAGTATGCTGGACTTCCTGCACGTCTGGAGAATCACAAGCTTGCGGTCCATGGGACAGAAGTCTTTTTCCACAAGGAAGTTTGTAAGGCAGGCTGTGCAGAAGGTGTGACCACAGAGCGTGTCTAATGGCTGAAGCAAAGGTTGCAGGCAAATGTGGCATATCAGATCATCATCTACTTCTTCGGTGTAGCTGTACAAGTGGTTTTCTTCCGGTAAATGCGCTTGGCCACAGGTGACGCACAGTGGCGGGGAGCTGTCCTCCATTTCTTCTTCTTTCTGGCTCATAATCAGAATTGATGCAATTCAAAAGGGGGCAGGTGGGAATACCCAGCCCGTTTTCTGTTTGTGAGAGCTGTAGCAAGGCTTGTGTGCCGTCAGATCTGTGGGGAGGAAAGCCGAATGATTATGTTCTGGGTTGTGTTTTCTTATCTGGATATGAAGTACTGGATACGAAGTACTATAGCATCTGAATATGAAGTACTGGCTATGAAGTACTATAGTATCTGAATATGAAGTACTGGCTATGAAGTACTATAGTATCTGGATATGAAGTACTGGCTGTGAAGTACTATAGTATATCTGGATATGAAGTACTGGCTATGAAGTACTATAGTATCTGGATATGAAGTATTGTATCAGGTTCTAGGAAAGGATTGTGTCTTTGGGATGGGAGAGTAAAGCAAAGAAGGGTGCAGAAAAAAAAAGAGAGAATTAACTCCAGGGACATATTTTCTCATTAATCTAGCTTAATTTACACAGATACTTTCATTGTAAAGAAAGATATCAAGATAGGGAGAAATACTACAGGCATTTAATGGTCGAAAACCTTAAATGACATATAATTGCAGTTCCAGTCAAATGATTTTGTGGCCACATTACTTCTGCCAGAAAAGTAGCATTGTGTGTGGGCAAACACTGCAAGACTGTGTGCAGAAATATAGGTAAGAATAAAGGTTGCTGGCCAAGTTGCTTGCTCAGCACAGCAAGGGAGAGCAGCAGCTTCACCTAATGCACACAGGCATACAAACACTGTATCGTAGCCAGAGGGAGGATAATTTGGGTCATGAGAATTTAGAGCTTGGGACCCTGTAGACCATTCTCATACTACAGCAGCAAGGGACCTGTAGCCCTGCATTCAAAGATTGCCTGCCTGCCATCAAACAGTTATAACCATCTGCAGCAGCATAACCACTTCAAAATTTCATTTGCTCTGCAAAAAAACCAAACACCTTACATACTGAAGTCCACAGCACAATGCTAAGTAGTGTATTGCTCAAAAGAAGGTCTATTCCCTTTATAATTTGTCATACAGAAACCTAAGTATGTCTCTAGCTAAAAACCCTAGCTCTGGCCACAACACCTACCTGCTGGTATTTTAAAGACATAAACTCTGTGGGTGGCAGTAAAACTGAAGAGTAATTTGTAGTTTTTACTTGATGAACCCCAACTGCTTGTTGGAGCACTTATGTCTCATTACTTCTATGCTTATTTTGATATACCACTCTGAAAACAAACATGAAGATATAAAATATGCAATGGCCTAATTACCGCTCTTGCTTGAAAATGTAAATCTTACTTGCTGCTCTGCCTTAAAACTGCACCCTTGCTTTCAGCTTGACTTAATTTGCTGAGACAATGTGTCAGCCTCAGACACCCATGTCTGAGGGCAAATGAGGGAAAGAATAATAAGAAAAATCTGACTATGACAGAGCATATTTTCATATAAATAAACCCTTATTTTTATGCAAAGCTCATGGGTTCTCAACCTGAGAAATTAAACTTTAACATGGCAGGTTTTTCTGGCATGAAGGTAAAATAATAGCCCGACTAACACGAACCAGATGTTTAAATGTCAAACATTCTCTTCAATGTTTTGCTAGATCTTATTCTTATGAAGCAATTATGTTAAGTGCCTGTTTTTGCTTGCAAGAGAGAGTTCTGCATAAGCTCTGTCTCCTGATTAGCAGTAGCTTCACTGGAATTAAAATCATTGCCTGTTAGAACCCTTGCAAATATTTAAAATACGCCAAACTGGGTCAAATATATCCTTTTGTAAAAATATTCACCAGAGCTTTATGAAAAGCTGTTTGTGAAGAAACAAACATTTCTCCATAGTGCAGGTAGCAGCTCCACCTGTTATCTTAATATAGGAATTATTATTTAATTCTACTAAGGTGGCAGCAAAATAAAATGAGCTAAAAAAATTATCACGGGCTGTGGTGGAGACTATCTGGCCCTGTAAGTGGCTCATGTAGGAAGCTCTTGGATAACTTCTAGATGAAGTGGGGTGGCTGTGAGCAGGTGTCCATGCTCTCCATATCCCTCGCTGATGGAGGGAGCCATCTCAAGTCAACAGGACTGCTTGCAAGAGTGGCAACACATGGCTTGGGAGCTTGCATCATTCTTAAAATAGATGTAAAATTAATTAGAAACCAATAATGCATGACAAAAATAGCACTGTGCTATAAGATTTGTTATCTTTAGAATTTTCAGAATGCTTTGCACCTGGAGCAACCAAGGGGGTGGGCAACATCCTGCTGTTTCTCCACTCCCCCGCCATGTCCTCTGCACCACCACACACAGTACATCCATGTGGGTGCTCACCCTACGCACCACATACCAGAATACAGCCAACTCCAGCATTTTGTCACCTCATGGATGTTCTCAAGGACAGAATTCTTGCTGCTTGCTGGCAGGAGACCCAACACACAGCTCCCATCAGCCAACCTGCAAGCTAAAGCCAAAGCCCTGCTCTGAGGAAAGAGCAGCCCCCAGGAACAGGTACATGGGCATCTGAGCCACCCCTTCCCAACCTCATGCCCTAACCCTGAAAGTACCTCTCCCCACTTCCACATGTACAACACAGCAAGGCCCCTGATCCAAATTAGCTACAGCTGGAAAGAGTACTGCAGCTCCAAAGCTACTGCAATTATTTTCACAATGACAACAGAGAGAGGCACCACTGCCCTAAGGCCATGTTGTGCTGCAGCAAAAATGATGAGAGAAACCCCAGAGGAGTCAAAGTCTGACTGTCCTAGCCATGTTACAGATACTCTTCATCAATCTGACATATTAATAATGCAATGCTAGTGGAAAAGGGCAGGTGTGAGGAATTGCACCTGAATTTTACAATGTTTATGTAAATTACAAATACCTGCTACAGCACAGGGAAACAAAACTATCCACATTTATTAGTAACAGGCACTGAGTTTTTAGAACATGAAATTCAAGTCCTATGAGGTCTATTATTTAGAAAATTTTGACTACATACTAATATAAATTCTGGAAAAAAAATCTCAGCCCCTTATGGCTAACCTGGTCCACATTCACCAATGAACCTTCAGAAACTGCTGGACATATCAAGCAATGGAATGATTGCCATCTTTGGGAAGTGATTATCCCACTAACAGAGTTAGCATGGAGGGTGTGTGATAAAACTGCTACACAGATTCAATCAGAGGCAGATGCTCTTTGCAATGTTTGCAGTCATCTGTATTTATAACATTTATGTGCTGTCATATAATAGCTACATAATTAGTATCATGTCCTTTTAGGAAGTATAAAGTCTTAGTTCCTCTTGAACATTGCAGAAGAGAGGGGAGAAGGGATTTAAATTTGACCTATTGAGTACTAGTGCATATTTCTACTTCATCCGGTACCTATGACTAAAAAACAAAAGTACACTTTGAGCAAGAAAACCTGCATAGGTAGATGGTAAACCACAGTGAAACAGGAAAGGTAATAATTTCTTGGCTGAACCTCTATTCTTCAAGCCCTGTCCTTCAGGGAGGAAGAGATGGGAAAACAGAGGGGAGGAATCCTATGTTCCTTTGAGTTGGTGTCAGCTACCACTGGCAGCCTCAGCAGAACACGGATGTCATCTTGGCAGTCTCATTCTTCTTGTAGTCAGAGCCATATTGAGAGAGGGTGATTCTTGCAAGGATGATTGGCAGGAGAAGTTCTTAGAGGAGGTGATGGTCCCATGCCTAAGCAGACATCACCAGCATTTGCCACTTCCCTGCTGTGCAGGAAGTTTTCAACAACTCAGGTCCCAGATTTAGCATAGTTTTACAGCACCTAGCACCAATTGGCTTGGATAAAGAAAATCAAGTACTGATTTGTAAGAATGTCACAGTGTTGTGACACTGTGGTGAACCAAGCTTCAGTCCAAGGCAGAGACCTGAAGCACAAGAATACAGTGCAAATGGTGAAGGAAGAACATTGTTATCTGGATGTCCATATTACCAAGTTTTCAGCCACAAGCTGTAATGACAATGGTCACATCAGGGCATAAAATAATCACAGGGCCGTGACCACAGTGAAAAGCACTGTCATGATAACCCATTTTTTAAAAAGTTACCCAACAGGCTGCACTGATTTGAAGAATTTTGCATCTTACTGGTCTTCACTGCTTAGGAATTTGCAGCCACAAGAAGCATGTATGAGAATGACAGAACAAACCCACACAAAAAGCCAGGACAGTAAACATGAAAAGTAGGTAGAGGTAGGTATCTCCTTGCAATAACAAATCCATAGTTATCCCATCCCAGTGAAGCACTTAACTAATCTTAAGCTTAAATTCTGACTTACCACCATAGTTACACTGGCAGCAGCCTAGCAAGAAGAGGGCTTGCCAAGCAGAGTGGCAGAACCCCACACTGCCTCTGCCCAGCCACAGTCAAATATTAACCCAGCAGTTCAGGAGGCTGCACTTGGAAGTAGCATGGCACAGAAGGGGAGAAACTTCAGGTAGCAAAAAATGAGTAAAAAAAGCTAAAGGAAAAACAATTAAGTGATGAAAGATATTGTGGAAGCGGCTATCAAAGAAAGACTAAAACAGATGCCTAAAGGCCAGAGAAACAGTGACATGGAGCCTGGAGGAGCAGCTACCGGTTTAAATCACAAATTGGGAAAGATAAGCCAGTGAGCAGGCGTCACTGGAAAACAGAGGAGCGGAACAGATGAGCTGCAGAACTCAGCAGCTCATTCCTCAGTAAGAGGAATTTAGCTGCAGTAGTTCATTCTGAAGTAGTACGGCTTGGTGGTAATGAAATCTTCAGTCAGTGGTAAGAGTGGCATGATAAAGGAAATGGATTCTAAATAGCACAGTAAGAATGACAAATATTAGTTGGTTTGGTAGCTTGGTTTTCTCTCTGTGTTTAAGGGACACCTTTTATTAATGTTCCTGTTTTATACATACTCAGAGCATGTGTATAACAAATCCTGTATCTGCAGATTAAAAAGATGCCTTTTCACACCCTGTTTCTCTGCTGTACAACCCGTGGGAGATGAAGGTTCTACTG